GCAAACAGCAAACAGCAAACGGCAAACAACAAACAACAAACAACAAACAACAAACAACAAACAACAAACAACAAACAACAAACAACAAACAACAAACAACAAACAACAACAACAAACAAACAAACAAACAAACAAACAACAACACCACTACCAACAACAACAACAAACAACCACAACCACAACCACAACCACAACCACAACAACAACAACCACAACAACAACCAGCAACCAGCAACCAGCAACCAGCAACCACAACAACAACAACAACAACAACAACAACAACAACAACAACAACAACAACAACAACAACGACGACAACAAGAATCCGCATCGCGGAACTCCACTTCAGCCACGCACCCAGGGACAGTGAATGACCGTTCGGCTCAGCCCCCTTCGGGTGTTGCTAGAAGTACCCCTGGCCCAAGGTGCCCCCAGCTTTTCGCTTCACTCTGGAGCCCCTGGGGCCCTCTGGGCCTCGTGAGGGGTGCTTTGGAAGCCGTTTGGGCTACCCCGAAATTCCTGGGGGGCACCTTGGCCCAGGGGCACCTCCAGCAACACCCGACCCCTCGCTCTGATCAACATGCCGGGGCGACGCCGCGCCGACCCCGCGCTCGCGCTGCTCGCGGGCCCGCGCGCGCGGCCTCTGCGCCCGACTTCGCGGCGGCCCCTTCGTCTCTCGACCTGCGGGCGCCCAGAGCAGCCGGGCGCTGGCGCAGGGTGGCCCTCCCCCTCCTCCTCCTCCTCCCTCCTCCTCCTCCTCCTCCTCCTCCTCCTCCTCCTCCTCCTCCTCCTCCTCCTCCTCCTCCTCCTCCTCCTCCTCCTCCTCCTCCTCCTCCTCCTCCTCCTCCTCCTCCTCCTCCTCCTCCTCCTCCTCCTCCTCCTCCTCCTCCTCCTCCTCCTCCTCTCCTCCTCCTCCTCCTCCTCCTCCTCCTCCTCCTCCTCCTCCTCCTCCTCCTCCTCCTCCTCCTCCTCCTCCTCCTCCTCCTCCTCCTCCTCATCCTCGGCATCCTCGATCCTCGATGGGGGATCCGATGAACCGTTCGATCAGTATCTGGGAGGTCGATTGGGCTCTCTTGGGTTCCCGGTTCGGGGAGCAATAAGGGGCAGGATGGGGGAGGAGGGGCGGGGGCGGAGGCGCAGGTTCGGATTCGAGCCATGCAGTCCAGTCGACTTCCACATAAAGCCAAGCATCCCTCTTCCTCCTCCTCCTCCTCCTCCTCCTCCTCCTCCTCCTCCTCCTCCTCCTCCTCCTCCTCCTCCTCCTCCTTCTCCTGCTCCTCCCCCTCCTTCCCCTGCGCACGCAGCACGCAGCCCGCGCCAGCGCCAGATTGTCCGCCCGAACGGAGCCCAAGCGACATCGTTTTCAGAAGGGCCTCGGCTTCGATCCACCGCACGCTTGTGCTCCATCCGGGCGTGTTTGTGACGACTCCAGCAGCTTGTGGGCGTGATCCGACTCCTGCTCCTGAATTGCCCCATGAGCCCTCCCCTTCTGAAATTAGCCCCGGAACCTGGACTGGATGAGGAGCTTGAGGCAAAAGGTTGTTCTTGGCCCCCCTCCCTACCTCTCCTCGCCTCCCCCCCAGGCGGGAGCATGGCAGCTTCGTTGATGCATCCTGGGTTTACCCTGGTCGTCCTTCTCCTCCTTCTCATCCTCCTCCTCCTCATCATCATCATCCTCCTCTTGGCCTCCTGGTGGGAAGCTCCCGTAAATGAACGTTTCAGTTGCTACTCTGTCGCTTTCGTTTCCCTGCGGGGTCGGGACCCCTTCCTGCGGTTAAATCACTCACACTCAGATTCACAGCTCCTGATGATGGTCCAAATGCTCACCGCGATATAGCAGGCGTGGCACTTGTGTACCCCAATGAGGGGGCCCAGAGGTCAGGACACCCCAGGATTCACGCCCAGATTGTGGGGATATATCTGGCGGTTTGCTTGTTACACCCCCCCCTGGAATTCTCTTTCTTGTTGGTCCAATCATCACCGCAATATAGCAGGCGTGCAACTTGGGCACCCCAAGGGGAGGGGGGGGGCGCCATGGGTGGGGACACTTCAGGATTCGCGCTCAGACTGTGGTGATGTCTCAGGCGGTTTGCTTGTGCTGGCCCCCCTGATATCTCTCTAATGGTGGTCCAACGCTCACCGCGAGGGCACCCCAAGGGGGGGGCGCCAGGAGCCGAAACACCCACGGATTCGCGCTCAGGCGGTTGTGATGTCGCAGGCGGTTTGCTTGCTTGGGGCCCCCCCCAGACTTCGGTGATCCAATGCTCCCCGCGATACAGCAGGCATGGCACTTGGGCACGCTAAGAAGGAGCCGCCAAGGGTGGGGGGGACACTCCAGGATTCGGGACGTCTACAGGAGGAGGAGGAGGAGGAGGAGGAGGAGGTCAATGAAATCGTCGTTGTCGTCGTCGTCGCTGTCGCCCCCGTCGTCTACGCGGACTCGCTCTTCTACGCGGACTCGCTCTCGCACCCAGACTCTCACAAACGGAGTCCCCCAGCGAGACGTGCCGGGAACGTGAGATGCGCATCCAGGGATCTCCGCGTCGAGTAATTGGTTCCCAGAAGGACACGGCGCAGAGGTCCCAGCAGAGATCGCAGCGAGTCCACGCTGCGATTCTGGATGGGCTGGCAGGGGATCTCTGAGACATGGCCCCACTCTCGTGGGTCCGAGACGTCCCTCAACTGGTTACTCCGCGCAGTCGTTCCGACGCACTGCACAAAAGTGCATTATGAAGCCTCGGCTGTTCACACCGAGTGTCCCCATCTCATTCCTCCTGCCCCTCCTCTCTCTAAATCATGGAAGAGACTTGCACCACCTTGGGGCAGCTAGAGGTCCAAGCATTGACCGAAAACGCATGTACAACCCAAGGTTCATGAAATTAACATGCACTTCTGCAAAACCGAATCCGCCAACCCTGTCGGCGTGTGTGAGGAGCTTGGCTGTTCAGGTCGTCTTGTCCGTCAGTCGTCGTCTCCGTCGTCACCTTTCCCTGCACCCTCATCATCAAGCCTGTCAGCGAAAGAAAAATCTAGCAATGTCGTAATCGAATCGAAGGGAAGCCCCTTCCCTTTGATCCCTTCCCCACGTCGGGGGGGGGTCCCGGGGGGGTCCTGGAGGGGTTCGCCACCCAGACACGCTTTCCACCCCTGGGGGCCCTGGGGCCTCAGAAAGTACCGAGACAGGCCAAGAATGTCCCAAGAGGCCGCTGAGACGGTCCTCCCTAATCGCCGGACGATCGGTCCAAAACACCTTCACGCCCTCCAGACTGCCCAGGAGGCCTCCAGGACGCCCCGAGACGCCTCCAAGAGCACTCCCGAGAGGGCCTCAAGAGGCCAAATTCATTGATTTTTCACTGGTTGATTTAAGATTTGGGCGTTCTCGCCTTTTCCACTTCCCGCCGCTCCAAAACGGCGCCGGAGGCCGGCAAGATCTCCCCAAGACGGCACAAGAGGCCTCCAAGAAAGACCAAAAACAGCCCACGAGGACCCCAAGACAGCCCAAACGCCACCAAGACGGCCCCAGATGCCCCCAAGACGGCTCCAAGAGCGTGCCCAAATGGGGGACCCGAACGGACATTTCGAGCCCTCGGCCCCAAGAGGCTCCCAGGAGGCCCCTGGAGGTTCCACAGAGGCCCCAAGAGGCCCACAAGAGGTCCCCAGGAAGCCCAAAGAGGCCCCCAAGAGACTCCAAAAGGAGCCCCCAAGAGGCTCCAAAGAGGCCCCAAAATTCCTCCCCAGAGGCCCCCGAGAAACTTCCAAAGAGACCCCAAGATCCATCCCTGAGGACTCTGGCCCACGTCAGCGTCGTCGTCGTTGCCGCAGCCGCCGCCGTTGTCGTCGTCGTCGTCTCCCTACGGGGTCGGCGGCACCGGCCGTGAGGCCTTCGCAATAAAGGAAGTGCCTGGTCAACGGGACTAACCGGGCCAATAGAAACACCATTGCGAAGGTGCTTCCCGTCTTCTATAAGAGTATCCATATACACACACTGGAGGCGCTGCTGAGTAATACTACTTACTGACAGGGTACCCCAAGCACTCGTTCGTCACCTGAATGATACCCGTAACCTAGAAAACGCCACAGCAAATGACGAAGACAATCTGGCCAGTAGGACGGGGCCGATGCCCCGAAGCCTGGTGGGGAAGGGGTGCCGCGCCAACATGCACTTACTAGAGCTAGAGGAACTTAAAACGACCTAATCGTACTCCGTGCGGATTTCTTGGATGCGCGTTGGACCCCCCATCCCTCGCGTTCGCTGCGCACCAGGGGCGGCGCCGCAGGCGCCGCCAGGCAGGCCCAGGCGCCAGCCGAAGAGATCTGCGCGGAGCACCCAAAGTTTCTGCTCGTGCCGATGCCTACCCGCAGGCCCAGCGCGCGCCCTGAACCACCCTGCAGCACGCCGAGAGCGCCTGGCGTCCGAGCGCCCCAGAGCACGTCGTGCCGCGGGGCCCCCTCCGGGACCGCGGAGGCGGTACCGCGCGCGGCGGCGAGGGGAGGAGGAGGAGGAGGAGGAGGAGGAGGAGGAGGAGGAGGAGGAGGAGGAGAAGGAGGAGGAGGAGGGGAGCAGCGGCGCGCTCTGCCTCCGCCAGCCTCGGAGGGACCCTTCCGCTTCCTGGGCCGCCTCGCTGTGCGCCTCGCTGTCCCCGCGGTGCGCGATCCGCGGTCGTCTTCGCGCCCTCGCGCCGCGCCTCTCCGGCCCGGGCCGCGGCGCGCAGAGAGCGCGCTGCCTGCGCGCCCCTGCGGGTGGCCCGACTCTCCACGCCAGAGGGGGCGACCCCAGATGCCAGGCAGAGGGGTCAGGGAGCCCCCCCACGACCCCTCCACGACGCCGAGCACGCCATGCAGGGGGGGGAGGGGGAGGGGGAGGGGGAGGGGGGGGAGGGGGAGGGGGAGGGGAGGGGGAGGGGGAGGGGGAGGGGGAGGGGGAGGGGGAGGGGGAGGGGGAGGGGGAGGGGGGGGGGGAGGGGGAGGGGGGGGGGGAGGGGGGGGGGGGGGGGGGGGGGGGCGATTCGCGAGCACAGCCAGTCCCAGTCCACCAGGAGCTGAGCGGTCGGAGGCGCTCCCCGGGGGGGGGGGGCCACGGCGCGCCGCCCTCGGATCCGTGGGCCGTGAGAGCGGGGTGCAGGAGCGGCGAAGAATCCCGACGTTCAGCACGAGAAAGGCGGCTTTGGCTGCCAGCGCAGAGCATGCTTGCAATGAAAATCCTTCATCTGCTCCGGTGTACGTGTCGCCTTTGATTATGACAAGCGTGCGTTGGTCGCCGTACGGAACTGTACAAAAAAAAGTGAAAGAAGGATGGCCCAGGAGCATCCTCCTGGGACATACCCGTTGGGCAAGCGTCAGGATGTGATGCGAATCTGCGCATATGGCCCCAGCTCGAATTGCACTTCAAAGTTCCACTTGTGAGCCTCTGGTAAATGCCACCGTCCTCCGCACAGACACTTCTCCGTAAGACGTGTTCTTTGTATGGACCATGAACATACCTTCTGTGAAGCAATGATCTTGTATCAACGCGCGAGATTCATTCACAAACTCACGAGACGTCAGTAGCTCGCTGCAGGGATGGTGGTTGAACGAGTTCTCAGGCCCAGTCAGAAACCTGAAACCATCGATGAGCCTACTTCCACCACAACAGCCCATGCCAAGAGTCTTCATCTCCTCATTGAAGCATCGCATGAGCTGCGGCCCAGTCGGGGGCTCGGGGCTATCTTTGTCGAAGTCCCGCTTGCGGTACGTACTGCAGCGGCCAGTGTATTGCTCACCACCTAGAAGTGTCAAGAGGGCCTCGTACATGCATCCATTGTCTGCCCAAGGCCACTCCCCCGTACGACAATGCTTCTTCCAGTGTTTGTAAAATCTGCGCCCAGCTTGGGAAACCTGCAAGAAGAACACACCATTGTTCAAGGAAAGCGCATTGTCAGTAAAAATTACTGGGGCACCCTCTGCGGCCTCAATGAAAAAAGTTAGCGGCCTCTGCGGGCGCATAATGTGCGTGTCCAAATCGTGCCAAAACAAATAATCCTGCTCGCTGTTTGTCGAATTCTGGAGTTGCACTACGGTTTTCCACACATCCGAAAGCGCCTGGAGCTTACAATACCGGTAATCCCCTCTCCAGCGATGCGCTCGAAATTTGGAACAGTTCAAAGAGTCTTCCGAAAAGAGAGTCCAAGTGTAACCCCAATGCTTTGCGTACATTTCCTTCGCTGACACCGAATCAGCCAAGCGGTCAAGATACATCTGCGTGCCAAACGACACCATGTGAACGCGTGGTGTGGCGGCTCGAATGCCTGCACCCGCCGCGCCCTTGACAAGGAAAACCAGAATGCACTTCGGCAAGAAGCATCGTGCTCTCATCCTCTACACTTCAGAGCTGAAGCGAGGATCGGCCATCAAACAACGCTGGCGCGAATCAGCCGCAGACCACGCCGGCGCCGCAGCGGAAAAAAAAGCGCCGCCCTCCCCCTTGTCGAGGCCACCAGGCTGCATGGCTCAGGTTTTCAACTCAGTGAAGCAGTTTGGTCTTAGCTGCCTCGTACCTCTGAACATGGTCAGCATTATGCAACAATTCAGCTAACGAGCAACTCGGCAGTCAGGAATTATAACTACAGAGTTCCCCGAGCCTAGAATTCACACACAAAAATTGAACTTAGCCCCTGCAACTGTTCGAGATGCGAGGAGCGACCCTGAAGGCGAAGATGCTCCTACAACGATCAAACCGGTCGACAAGCATGCTTGCACCCCAGAGACCAGATGCCGCAGGACACGTAAAACAACGCGGCTTCCGCAGCCCTAAAACCAAGACCCAACACAGCATACAATGGGCCTGTGCTGCCAAACCACGACCTGTCGTAAAAACGTCCGCCCGTCCAAGAGGCGGCCATCACGGCCCAAGACGGCTCTGGGGCCCAAGAGTCGGCTTCACGGAACCAAGACGGCGCCAAAGAGATTCAAGACGGCCGAAGAGAGCCCCACGAGGCCTCCAAGACGGCCCCGCTTGGACCCTCGTGTTGCAAAAAAGATTTAAAACCAAATAGTTCCAAGGGGGCATTGGGGAACCCGAGGAGGCCCAAAAGGTTCTCAAGAGGACCCCAGGATGGCACCGAGATACCCTACAAGGGCCTCCGGATGGCTCCATGGCGAACATGGGGGCCTCCGTAGAAGCCAAGGACAGCTCAAGAGAGCCCCAGGACCGCCCAAGAGGCCTAAGACGGCACGAAACAGTCCCAAGTGAGCCCTGGGACAACCCCGAGACGAACCAAGAGAGAGCTCGCCGAGAGGACCAACGATGCCCAAAGAGCAGCCCACGAGACGCCAAGAGGCACCCATACGCTCAAATCTGGATCTTCGGCAGTAAGGGGTGGCGGTGATCCTTCGGGGTTGCCTTCTATAACTGCATGGTACGCAATGGCGATGCGCAAGCAAGCTAACACTTGAGCCGAAGAAGCGAGGGATCGCAACGAAGAAGGCAAGCTATCGGCGCATGGGGCTGAAAAGAGTGAGCAACACACATGCATACATCACAAGACTTCCCGAACTCACTGGCAGACCGTCCAATACTCTAGCTTCACTCAGTAAGCTGTGAAAGAACACGCATCAGATGCGCCGTCAGTCCCTTCCGGGCAAAACGACAAATCGCAAACGATACTGCGGTTGCGATCGAAAGGTCGCAAAGACGACGGCATACACTGCGAGTCGACGCACAATACTGTCAGGCTGCTGGACTGCCACCTGTCATGCTCAATGGCGTCATGCTGCCCAAGTGTCATGCTGATCAGCACAGAACCAAAATAAATGTTACGTACGTAGCGCCATGGTGCTGGACTGCCGCCAATCATCGTCGGACGGAGAATCCACCAAGCCGCGTTGTCCAGGTCGTCGCCCTCCACCTCGCGCGTATTCTGGGACAGACGGCCACACATATAGGCAAACGCAGCTCGGCACGCTTACGAGATCGAAGGCAGAGACATCGCACACTGCTTGATTCTAAATTCCTAGCATGGTGGTCGCTGCCCTGTGTCATCCGCTACCGTGCCGCAGGCACCCAGAGGATTGTCCTCAGGCTCCAAAGAGCCCTGAGTAGTGAGTATTGTACATACGTGAGGGTTATGGCCCCAAGGTCATATCTTGGGCCTCCATTGGGCGTCTCTTGGGCCGTCTTGGGACTCTGAGGGTTGACCCGAGATGCAAGAATCACTGAAACAACGAAGGCGTCTGCGTCATTTACACTTACTCGCATGTTTGGTCTCGAGAGCGTCCAAGACGACCCAAGAGTTCCCCGGGGCATGCCCAGGAGGGCCAAGAAGGTCTCCACGAGGTGCCCCAGAGATCCCCAAGAGGGCTCTCAGAGTCGACCACAAAAGGAAACCTGACGGGGCCCCAAGATGGTCCCCGAGACTGCCATCAGGCTCCCAATAGGCCAAAGCCGTCAAGAGGCTCCAAGGAGGCCTCCAAAATACTCCGCCCCCAAGAGTCGGGTCGGGCGAAAGGGGGGGATAGCAAAGTGGGGGTTTGAGAATCAGCTCACGTGGCTGATTTTAGTAACCCCCCCTTTCCCAAACCCCCCCTTTCGCCCGACCCGAAAGAGGCCCTCACGAGGCCATTCAAGCGGCATCTGATCCACGAGCCAGGCACGGTGGCGGGACGGGCCGAAGGCCTCTAGATCCGCCGCCCCCTGCTTGCAGGGGTGCACGGCGTGCTGGATGAGCTGTCAGGTTTTGGTTTTGGTTCTTTTTCCAAAAGAACTCCCCAGTGGGCTCCGGTAGAACCCGCCACCGTGCGCAAAAACGGCCGTTTCGCTCGGGACATCCTCAAAAAATCGCGAAGATGGCCCAAGATGGCCTCCAAGTCCGCCCGAGATGGTCCAAGACGGCCTCCAAAACGGCCCAAGAGAGTCCAAGACGGCCCAAGACGGCCCAAGAGGCCCCCCAGAGGCCTCCCAGACGGCCCAAGAGGCCTCCAAGAGGTCCTCCAGGAGAGTCCGAAGAGGCCAAAATCATTGATTTTCCCTTGGTTTTTGAAGGATTTTGGCATTTGCGCCTTTTCGGCTCTCCGACGGCTCAAGACGGCCCAAGAAGCCCCCAAGATCGCCCAAGAGGCCCCCAAGAGAGCCCCCTGATGGCCCAAGTGGCCTCCAAGATGGCCCCTAGAGGGCCCCAAGACGGCCCAAGAGGCCTCCAACACGCCCAAGATGGCCTCCAAGACGCCCAAGATGGCCTCCAAGACGGCCCTGGAGCGCCCCAAGAGGGTCCCCCGTTGGCCCAGAAAGGCCCCCAAAACGGCTCCCGACGGCGTCAGACGTGCCAGGAACCCACCAAGATGGCCGAAGTTGGCTCGAAGCTGGCCCAAAAGGGCCCAAGAGGCCCCCAAGAGGGCCTCCAGGAAGGCCAAAAGATGCCAAAATCACTGATTTTCCCAAGGTTTTTGATGGATTTGGGCATTTCCCTTCTTTCGGCCTTCCGACGGCCCGAGACGGCCCAAGAGCCCCCAAAGATCGCCGAAAGATCGCCCAAGAGGCCTCCAAGACGACGACGATGACCATCAAGACGCCCACGTGTTCCCCGAAGGCTTTCCAAACCGATTCGGGGAACACATGGTCCGATGGCTTGGCAGGTCTGGCCTCAACGTTCGGCCACATAGGCGCTTCCACAAAGGCAGGGGGCGGCGGTGATTCGCCGTAGGCGTCTTCGATCCGCCGCCCCCTGCTTGCAGGGGTGCCTGGCGTGTTAGATTTTATCGGTTTTGGTTTTGGTTCTTTTTCTAAAAGAACTCCCCAGTGGGCTTCGGCCCGTCCCGCCGGCCACCCGGAAAGGATGCCCAGGAGCTCAATTCCCCAATTTCCTGCCCCAGACGGTTCCAAGATGGCCTCCAAGATGCCTCTAAGACGGCCAGGATGGTCTCTAAGACGGCTAAGATGGCTCCAAGATGCCTCCAAGACGGCCCAAGATGCCCTCCAAGACGGCCAAGATGGCCCCAAGATGCCTCCAAGATGGCCCAAGAGGCCTCCAAGACGTTCTCCAGGAGAGCCCGAAGAGGCCAAAATCATTGGTTTTCCTTAGGTTTTTGAAGGTTTTTTGCGTTTTCTTCTTTTCGGCCTTCCGACGGCCCAAGAGGCCCCCAAGATCGCCCAAGAGGCCTCCAAGAAGGCCCTATGACGGCCCAAGGGCCCCCCAAGACGGCCCCAAGAGCGCCCCAAGACGGCCCAAGAGGCCTCCAAGACGCCCAACATGGCCTCCAAGACGGCCCTGAAGCGCCCCAAGAGGGCCCCAAGACGGCCCAGAGAGGCCCCCAAGACGGCTCCAGACGGCGTCAGACGGACCAGGAACGCCCTAAGACGGCCAAAGAGACCCCCAGGAAGCCCCCAAAGGCCCCCAAGAGGCCCAAGGAGGCCCCCAAGATGCCTCCAAGAGGCCTCGAAGAGGCCCCCAAGAAGCCCCCAACAGACCCCAAGGGTGCCCCAAGAGACTCCTAACAACCCTCATCCTCCTACTCTATTTCTTCCTCTTCCTCTTCCTGTTCATAATCATTCTCTCCCATGTGTTCCCCGAAAGCTTTCCAAACCGACTCGGGGAACTCATGGTCCGATAGCTTGGCCAAGCTCTAGTCCAACTTTCGGCCACATCGGCGTTTCCAAAAAGGCAGGGGGCGGCGGTGATTCGCCGTAGGCGTCTTCGATCCGCCGCCCCCTGCTTGCAGGGGTGCCTGGCGTGTTAGATTTTATCGGTTTTGGTTTTGGTTCTTTTTCTAAAAGAACTCCCCAGTGGGCTTCGGCCCGTCCCGCCGGCCACCCGGAAAGGATGCCCAGGAGCTCAATTCCCCAATTTCCTGCCCCAGACGGTTCCAAGATGGCCTCCAAGATGCCTCTAAGACGGCCAGGATGGTCTCTAAGACGGCTAAGATGGCCTTATGATGCCTCCAAGACGGTCCAAGACGGCCTCCAAAACGGCCCAAGAGAGTCCAAGACGGCCCAAGACGGCCCAAGAGGCCCCCCAGAGGCCTCCCAGACGGCCCAAGAGGCCTCCAAGAGGTCCTCCAGGAGAGTCCGAAGAGGCCAAAATCATTGATTTTCCATTGGTTTTTGAAGGATTTTGGCATTTGCGCCTTTTCGGCTCTCCGACGGCTCAAGACGGCCCAAGAAGCCCCCAAGATCGCCCAAGAGGCCCCCAAGAGAGCCCCATGATGGCCCAAGTGGCCTCCAAGATGGCCCCTAGAGGGCCCCAAGAGGGCCCAAGAGGCCTCCAACACGCCCAAGATGGCCTCCCAGACGCCCAAGATGGCCTCCAAGACGGCCCTGGAGCATTCCAAGCGGGCCCCAAGTCGGCCCATAGAGGCCCCCCAAACGGCTTCCGACGGCTTCAGACGTGCCAGGAACCCACCAAGATGGCCGAAGTTGGCTCGAAGCTGGCCCGAGACGGCCCAAAAAGCCCCAAAGATCGCCCAAAGCTTGCCCAAGAGGCCTCCAAGACGGCCAAGATGACCTTCAAGATGCCCACGTGTTCCCCGAAGGCTTTCCAAACCGATTCGGGGAACACGTGGTCCGATAGCTTGGCAGGTCTGGCCTCAACGTTCGGCCACATAGGCGCTTCCAAAAAGGCAGGGGGCGGCGGTGATTCGCCGTAGGCGTCTTCGATCCGCCGCCCCCTGTGGTCTTGCCACAGGGGTGCACGGCGTGCTGGATGTTTCAGGTTTTGGTTTTGGTTCTTTTTCTAAAAGAACTCCCCAGTGGGCTTCGGCCCGTCCCGCCGGCCACCCGCAAATTGCCCAAAACCCATCTCTCAATGCCCAAAAACGGCCGTTTCGCTCGGGACATCCTCAAAAAATCGCGAAGATGGCCCAAGATGGCCTCCAAGTCCGCCCGAGATGGTCCAAGACGGCCTCCAAAACGGCCCAAGAGAGTCCAAGACGGCCCAAGACGGCCCAAGAGGCTCCCCAGAGGCCTCCCAGACGGCCCAAGAGGCCTCCAAGAGGTCCTCCAGGAGAGTCCGAAGAGGCCAAAATCATTGATTTTCCGTTGGTTTTTGAAGGATTTGGGCATTTGCGCCTTTTCGGCTCTCCGACGGCTCAAGACGGCCCAAGAAGCCCCCAAGATCGCCCAAGAGGCCCCCAAGAGAGCCCCATGATGGCCCAAGTGGCCTCCAAGATGGCCCCTAGAGGGCCCCAAGAGGGCCCAAGAGGCCTCCAACACGCCCAAGATGGCCTCCCAGACGCCCAAGATGGCCTCCAAGACGGCCCTGGAGCATTCCAAGCGGGCCCCAAGTCGGCCCATAGAGGCCCCCCAAACGGCTTCCGACGGCTTCAGACGTGCCAGGAACCCACCAAGATGGCCGAAGTTGGCTCGAAGCTGGCCCGAGACGGCCCAAAAAGCCCCAAAGATCGCCCAAAGCTTGCCCAAGAGGCCTCCAAGACGGCCAAGATGACCTTCAAGATGCCCACGTGTTCCCCGAAGGCTTTCCAAACCGATTCGGGGAACACGTGGTCCGATAGCTTGGCAGGTCTGGCCTCAACGTTCGGCCACATAGGCGCTTCCAAAAAGGCAGGGGGCGGCGGTGATTCGCCGTAGGCGTCTTCGATCCGCCGCCCCCTGCTTGCAGGGGTGCACGGCGTGCTGGATGATTCAGGTTTTGGTTTTGGTTCTTTTTCTAAAAGAACTCCCCAGTGGGCTTCGGCCCGTCCCGCCGGCCACCCGCGCGTTTCCCAAAATGCGTCTGTCAATGCCCAAAAACGGCCGTTTCGCTCGGGACATCCTCAAAAAATCGCGAAGATGGCCCAAGATGGCCTCCAAGTCCGCCCGAGATGGTCCAAGACGGCCTCCAAAACGGCCCAAGAGAGTCCAAGACGGCCCAAGACGGCCCAAGAGGCCCCCCAGAGGCCTCCCAGACGGCCCAAGAGG